TCCCACGTGGTGAGCTGGTGCTTTCCGCCTTTAGTCACTTGCACTAAAAGCCACCACGTTTTAAGCTCGGTTGGATGTGACATTTAAGCTTGACTTTTTGCAGAGGGGGGAATGGAACAGCGGGAGGAGAGGGGGTTTAATTATTTTTTTTTTGTTTGTTTTTTGATCTATATGTGTGTTTTAACTTTTTGCTTAATCTCTCCTGACCTCCCACACGACAGAACCTTTATCAATCTGAAGGCTGCCCACTCCACTGAAGATTAAACATGTCATTCCCAGTGCTGGGGCTTTATTCACACGAGAGCAATAAGGATCCCGATCGGGGCTGTCCTGACACCACTTTGCAGGGCTGAAATACAGAGTTGGTGGTTGAACCCTCGGGCTGAGGGCTCCCAGGCGGGTACAAACCCTCATGCCCGGTGCCTGCGTGCATCCCTGCGCTGCCGGCTGATCCCAAGGGTCTGCACAGCCTCACCCCTCCCACCGCTGTGGGCAGGCAGACTGGAGCCCAGGGAAGCACCATGTGCAAAACTGGAAATCAAATCCACGAGCCTCAACATCCCCAACCTTCGCTGAGAATCCAACCATGGCTCCCGCCAAACTCTGCCGGCTCCCGGCCACTCTTCAGTCTTGGTTCGCAGCTTCTCCTTCATTTGATAAGAACTCGTAATTGCAGCCAGTCTCAGAAAGCTTTTTTTAAGATATAGCTCCTTCCCATCATAACCCCCCCACGCACAAAGCAGCAGCAGAGCACTAATGCCATTACCCATACGAGACCGCGCTCGGTCGGTGCTGGTTTGATGGATCGAAGCCTGCGAAGGTGCAGACTCAGCCTGGGTTTGCTTCCCGTCCATCTGCAAACGGTTCATTTTGATGCTTTGTACATCTGTGTGCATAACCTCCGCTCCTCAGACACATTGGTATTTCCACCACATTCGAGCACTAGGGCGGCTGATAAAAATTCTCGGCACATAACACAATGCACCAAAATATGAGCAGCTTAACACTTACAGAGAATAAACGAGTAAAAGGCAGACCTCAAAAAAAAAAAAAAAGAAATGATTCTTTTTTTAAAGGAGAAGAAGCCAATTAATTGAAAAATCTATGGGTAAAACATTAGCTTTTTCCTGATATCAGAGCAGCTACCCGGTGGTGCGGAGCACGGTGCCGGGTGGCTGTGTAGGAGGTCCAGGTTTCGGCAGGTTGAGAGAAGGATGCTCTGAGCGTTACATGCAAGAACAACCTGCACCGAGATCTAAAAGCCCGAGCTCTTGTACTTTGATTCTGTTACTTTCAAGTACTTGAGCAAAATAAAAAAAAATAAAAAAGAAAAAGAAAAATTGCCCAGAAAGTGTTGCTGTCTGCCTATTTATCCACAGCTTAACTTCAAAAGGGTGCTACAGGCGTACAAAGTTGTGTAGTCTGGCTGTGAGAGCAGAGGACTTGGTGATGGCTGGAGGGGCTACAGAAATATCTTGGGTTCTCATCCCCGATGAGACACTGATTCATTGTGCTGTGTGACCTTGGGCACGTTGCTGGAACACACATCACTTCGGTCTCTCCACAAACGTGAAACGCTGGATCTGGCTGGTCCAGCACAGGAAGGCTCGCTGCGGGGGAAGCTGCTGCTCCTCACCCTCCCCACCCAGCCCCACGGCTCAGCCCCACGGCCACCGGACCACCACCCTCTGGACGAGCGGGTTTGTCTTGCCTTGACCCAATTGTTCCAAGTTGGCACATTTTATGGTTAGACACAAATCAAGGGCTTCACTGATGGCTGCACTGCCAGAGGGTGTTCCTCAAACCCCAGGAAGGCACCCGTGCCTTAAGAGCAGTTTTATTAAAGACCGCTGGCGCGGTGCCTGTCCGCTGGGGAGATGATTGGCTTTGGAAGCCAAGATGCTTGTCTACAAGTCGCACCAGCGGCAGCTGAAGTGCAGGCAAGAGAAGAGATTAAAAGCATTGTATTAAATTATACTGTTTCAATCTTTTATTTTATGAAGGGAACATAACAAGTATGAAAGACGCTGGTCTGACAGGCAGACGGACAGGAGTCACCCTCCGTCCACAGACCTGAAGACAACAGGTAGCTCCATGGCATGTTCTGCCTCCCTGCTCCTGTCCTCACCATACCTCTGCCCTTCGGTCTGCAGAGACCACATCCCGCAGCCAGAAACCATCCTCCTGTGGGCGACAACACGTGCCCAGGCTGCCCAGACCAGCAGCAGACCCAGGGACCAGCACAGAGCCCTGAGCAGCAGCCGCTTCTCCACAGCAGAACGAGGATCTTCATCATTGTCTTAACCCTGGAGCTGACACAAACTACAAGCTCAGGGGGGTCTGGGCTCCTCCAGCTGGTCCCTGGGCTGTCACCTCACGCCCTCCCCCTGTGCAGGAGCAGCTGCTGCCCCGAAGCCAGGCAGGCTGGGAGCCTGCGGGCACGGCTCCTGGCGCTGCCCTTTGCAGCTACGTCTGACTCACCCAGCCTTAACGGCGCCCAGGACGCTCATTCACATTCACGGGCTCTTTATTGCACTGTTCTGTCTCGGGGTTTTTTTCCCACTTTAACAGTCGGAAATAGGACAACAGGAAATTCTTTTGCAGCCCAAGACCTGCCCTCATCGATACGACCCGTTGCTGTCTGCACTAAAAAAAAATGTTCTTAATGCACGGAGGGAGCAAAGCCCAGGTAATAACCACCGCGCCACGCACGACACAAGTGGCCGCGACCCCCGGATTCGAGGCCAGCCAAGCCAGGCAGCTTCCCACCTCTGCAGGGGATGGCAGAGGCTCGACTACGGGCAACACCACGGTCCAGGGCTTCACAAGCCACCCTGAGCTGGGCTGCGCAAAGCACACGACAGGGGCAGGTCCGGCGGCAGCAATGTTCATTTTTCAGCTGGTCTGCCTTCAGCCCACATCTCATTTCAGAGCGCCTTAGGGCAGGGTCGCTTTTAAAATCTTCCCTAGTACAAAATGTCCTGGCAGAAGCCTCACCGTGAAAAGGTGAGCAGGTATCTCAAAGTCAGGCTCGGCAGAAAAAAATGTGTCATTGGTAAATATAAGCCCTCCCATCGCAAATACAGAATAAAATAAGATTCCCATCCACTCCTGGAATAAATATGCTCCTCGACAAGAACAGCAAAACTCATGTGTGGGTTTTTTTTTTTCAACCTTTTCTACTTACACCTTGAGGGACCAGCACAAAAGCAACCAAAAACGAGCCCCAGGGAGCCCCACACACTGCCTGCAGAGCTGCCCGGGTGTGGGCACCAGAGCAACAGAGCTCCCCCCTGCACGGGGCCCTCTCTCATTAAAAAGAAGGATTAACGAAAGTCCAAGGGTGCTTTCAGTCTCCTATTCAAAGCCTGTGTAGCCGCGGCAGAGCAAGACGAAACCGGCGTGCGAGGTGCCCGTTCAGCTCTCAGAGCAATTGAATTATCTCCAGTGGAATCGCAGTGCTGGCCAAAGAGACAAAGTTAAATCGTAGCAAGGTGCAAGTGCCTGGGAATGTAATATTCCTGATAAATGGCCAGATGACATGTGCTGTTATACAATCTAAGGTGCAATTTGGGCGATGACAATAGTCCCTGGAGTTTCCATTTTCAAACAGCCGCTCGGTTCAATCCAATCCATGTCAGAGCAGCTTTGCTGATGTGAGTAAGTAGAGCTCATTTGTGCTATTACACAGGGAGCAAGGAATAGGAGCGGAGTCACCGCCTGAACATGAAAAATAAGAAAATAATATTGAAAAAAAAAAAACGCAGCTGGAAGAATCACAGCCCGGCTGGGACGGGCACAGGGGTGTGGGTGAGCATCGCACTGAGCGGCCCCAACCCAAATCCCTCGGCCTCGGGCCGGTGCGGGTACCTGGGCGGGCAGCGTGGGTACCCTCGCGTGGGTAAGCCTGGCTTTATCTCCACATTTTGGAGTTTCTTCAGCAACCATGTGATTATACTGTAATCACGATGACACTGCTCCTGGGTACAGCAAACAGCACGATCATTAAAAAATTCATTTCAAAATCTTCCTGGAAGCTAATAAATTTTACAGCAGTTTCAATCCTTTCTCATTGCAACAAAGAAAAGCTTAGTTCCAGACAAATTAAAAGTAAATTGATTGCCTTAGGGGAATCTATTCAAATATCACTTTTCCATGTTAGAAATCTCTTCCTGAAACAAGAAGAGGAGAGCCAGGGAGAGCCAGCACGGGAACGATGTGGAAAAGCAAATCATTAAATCTCAGTTCATGAAACTAAGCCAAGGGGGGGGGAGGAATCAAACTTAAAATAAAATGCAAATATCTCACTGGGGTGCGGGCCTAACATTTGTGACGGAATTTATGAATAATAAATATGAATAAATAGTAAACATGAAGGGATCAAACACTGCTGTTGATGTTTACTCATGGTTAGCCATCTTTCATGGACAATGCGCAACTGCATTATTTAACACTCCTCTTCCAGCTACTTTGGGGTTTCTTTTCAACTTCAGCACCTTAATTTTCTTGGGGATGGCACGTCCCCGAGCCTCAGCACACCCGCCTCCCCTCCACCCCACCAGGAACGGCTGTTCCCGGCTCAGGAACACCAGAAAAAATAGTAAGCTCAAGCTAAATACAAACAGTTCCCAGCCATGGTTCACCATTTGCTTGTAAATTAAGACTCTGCACCTCTCCCTTATCTCCCGTAAT